GGCACCCGGGGGCCACGGATGAGGCAGGAATGAGAACGTTCTCTCCCAGGGAGGGAGGCTGGCTTCCCATGAGGCCCCCTGGGAGGGACAAGTGCGTCAGAGGGTTAGTCCCTCGCTGTGGGGCGCAGGGAAAACTCTGGGAGACACAGACCCGCACACACTCCCACTAGCACAGGGCCGGGCCCTGCGGTGGCACAGGAGGGCGCCCCGCTCTCCCGGGACCCTGCAGGCTGCCCCCTTCCCTCTCCCGATGCCCCTGGCCAGGAAGAAAGCAGGCACGGGGCGGGAAAATGGGCACAGGGCCAGACTGCAGCCCACACTCGCCTGGAGTCAAAGCCGAGCAGACGAACCAGACCGGAGACCCCGCTGGGTCCCTGCGGCCGCAGGCACACGGGTGGGCTCACAAAGGCTAAGAGGCACAGGGGGAGGGGGGAGTCCTGGGCTGGGTGGGGCTCTTCCCAGGCCCAGCCTGGGCTTTTGCACAGCAGGCCTCCCCTGCAGGGACCACAGGAAGGGGCCAGGTACTCCCAGCGGACACAGCAGGGGGAGGGCGGTTCTGCTCAGCGTTTGGCAGGGACACTGTGTTCAGCTCGGGGTCTCTGCTTGCACAACCGTGTGCAGACAGTCAAGTCCATGACGCTTTTATGCGGAGGATGTGAGGACCGCCCCCACCCCCAGCACTCCGTGCTGGGCCCAGCTCCCCCTGAGCGTTTCAGACCCGGCCGGGGGCAAGGGGACGTGCATCGGGCAGCGGCGCTGGGCCGCACCGGGCAGTTATTCCCCCCCCACGCCCACCTCCCACAGCCCTTCTGCCCACACAGTCATCTGAGGAATGTTGCTTCCTGCCTGGCATCAGAAAGATTTTTACAGATGAAGAAACCCTGCTTTCTTTTCTTCATTTGTTGTTGTCAGGACACGCTGAGTCAGGCCGCAGACATGTGGAGCCTGGCCCGAGGACGCCCACCCACCGGCGCTCACAGCAGCTCCAGGGCTCTTCCCCACCCCACACCTCCTCAGACCCTCACTGCCCTTTCCAGCTCAGGCCTCCTGCTGGCTGGCCGGCTCTCATATGCTTCCCAGGGCTGGCCCAGAGTCACCTCCTCCAGGAAGTCCTCCTGACACTCCCCCCAACTCCCTGGTTGAAGGAGGAGCTGCCCTCTGGGCTCCCAAAGCACTCCATGGCGACCCCCCTCACCTACGCCTCCTGCCTCTGCGGCTGAGCCTGCTCCCTGGCGTAGAGCAGGCGCTAAATAGAGTCAGAGAACAAGGAAGGGGGGGGGGCGTCTCTGTGGTCACACGCAGACACAGGTGTGACTGAGACACACAGGCAGACAGAGGTGGTGGCTGCTGGGCAGGCCCCCTGAGAGACAGCACTGGCCCCTGAGTCTCCTCCCAGGTCCATGGGCTGGGTGGCCTGGGATAAGCCACGCCCCTTGCCGAAAACCTGGCTTGTCAAACGCGCTGTGGTAAGACTGAAAGGGGAACCCCCTCGCTGCCTGACGCAGGGTGGTGGGCCCACAGACACCAGCTCTGCCTTCCCAGAGCCGCACTGCGCCTGCAGTGGGGGGCACAGAACGGCGGGCACTGGAGCCTATGGAAGTCCCAGAGCCCCACCCCGCACCGTCCACGCCCCACCTCACTGGGACTGCGCTCCTCTCCCCAGCGAAGGACGCGCACACAGCCTCCCAACCCCGGTCAGTCTGGGCTGCAGCCGGCAGTACAAGGGCAGCCCTCCTGGGAACGGTGTGGCACCCACTGCCCCAACTCCAGACCCACAGAGCCCTGACAGAGCTCTGGCCGCCCCCGGGGGTCCAGGTGCCATGACAGAGCCCCTGCTCGCGCCCGTCGGCCCCACCTGTCGTCGGCCCCACCTGTCCCCGTCCGCAGTCAGAACCCAGAGCCCCAGCCCCAACCCCTCGCCGAGGCCCCCTCACGCTCTGCTCCCAGCTTCCCTGCCGCCCGATGCTGTCCCTGTGCTTCCACCACCAGGAGGCTGCCTGGGGTGCTCAGTGTGAGGGTCCACCCCACCAAGTGGGCACTGTGCTTTCTTTAACGGGGGCTTTAAATCGAGGGGCAGCCTATATGTTATTAGCAGAGAGGGAGGGAACTGACCAGGGCCATGGGAGAGTTTCCTGGGGCCCAGGAGACCAGCCGCATGGTGTTGCGAGTTCACCCTGCACAGGTGCACCCACTAGTCTGCAGTGACTGAGGACTCCCGTTACTAACTACAGGCGCGCTGAAGTGCTTAGAAATGCACTGCAGCGATGGCTGAAATTCACATGGAAAAGCATCAAAAACTAAGATGGAGGCAAGGCCGGACAGAGGGAGGGAGGGATGGGTGGACACGGGACAAGGCCACTAGTGTCCACGTGTCACTCGTGGAATCCAGACGGTGGGTCAATGTCCACTGACTGCGAGTCCTTCCACGTTCTTGTCTGAGAAACTCCTACGATAGTTTGGGAAACACAATGGAGCGGGAGGCGGGTCAGCAGTGTGGGGGAACGGGAGACTCTGTCACGGCCTGCGCACCTGCTGGGGTTCCCCGGGGCTGGAGAGAGTGGCGGGTGACCCTTCGCAGGAGCTGAGACGCGACCCCCAGCCCAGCACGGTGGGACCGGCAGCAGGTGGACCGGGTGGTCCCTCAGCTGCAGGACGGCGCGGGAAGGGCCGGGACTGAAGAGCACCGGGGAGCTCGGAGGGGCTGGGTGACGGGCGGAGTTCTGGGGCGCCCGCCCGGTGGCTAGCCACAGGCTGCGGGGAACAGAGGCAGGGGCTCCCCACGTTTTATCGCAGCAGCGGCGAAAGCTCTCATTCCCTGTGCCAACAAGCCACCGCGATTATTTTTAAAAGCTGCTGGCAGACGGGACGGAGGAATACTCACACGGTTCCCAGGGGCCAGCCTCGGCTGGCGGGACTTGAAAGGGGTCTTTTTCTAGCTGCTCCCCGACACGTTGATCCCTTTCCCCGGAGCTGGCTTCTCCACCCCCGGTCCCCACCTCACTCCTGCACACCCTGCAGGACACAGCCGAGGCACCACCTCCTCAGGGAAGCCCTCCTGGGTCCACCCGACGGGGTCCATGGCCCCTCAGCCCCGTGACTGCAGTGTCTGTGTGCGCGTTGGTTTGACGTGTCCTGTGAGTTCCCTAGAGCCCAGCCGCGGGGCACGGAATGCTCTGTGCTCTAACCAATGTGTTGAAAATCAGTTCCAAGTGTTTGAGAAAGTGACTTCACTCTTTGTCAGTTGAAAAATAAATAGAGAGCGGGCAGCGGGGCGAGGACCAGAAAATGAGTCCAGCTACATCTGTCTGGCGCAGGCCACGTGACCCGGCGTTAATTTCCCGAGAGGCACAGCAGCAGTGTCCCCCGGGGTTTGACTTTCCCCCTGGAAGGACTGCGGGGCGAGGGGAGAAGGGGCGCAGAACTCCCCTCAGACCCCGCCCCCACCCCCTCGCCCTGCCTCGGCCAGGCCCCGGGTGTCTGATGCCCCATCCCAGCCGGAGGAAGGGAGGCGCCTGTGTTGGAGGTCCCGTGCCCGCGCACAGGGGTCACAGCCACCACCGTGGCCACGTACACAGAACCTGCGCTGCGGAGATGGCGTGCCCTCCACGGAGAAGGGTGTATCGGGGTCCTGGGCATGGCTGCGCCTACGCTCCCCATCTTCCCACGGCAGGCGCGGGGAGAAGGGCCTCAAGCACCGGACAGAGTGACACAGAGGGGTGTGGCCGGCCAGGCCCATGTCCCCCCAGTCCCGCAGCGGACAGGGACTCTGAACAGCCAGCCTGCCCCCAGGGACTGCCCTCGGCCGTTCCCTGTGGGCACGAAGCCTGCGGGGTCAGCTGCTTAGACCTCGCCCACTGCCCCCTCGTCCCTCACCAGTGTGCTCCCAGGAACAGCTCAGTGGCCCTGCGAACAAATGTCTGTCTGTCTGTTGTCAACAGGGAAATGGACCACAGACAGCAGTGCAGCCGGGGACAGGAAGTGACAAGGCCCCCCATACACGGAGCAGCCTCGGGGAGCACGGAGCAGCTACCACGCACCAGGTCCCCCCCCCTCGGTGGAGGCAAACGCACGCTGTCATCGACCCACAGGGGAGACACTCCAAACACTTAGCCCGCTTTGTACAAGAGAGGAATGCCAGGGTCACCTGGGCACCCTGGGAGGGTCCCTGTCACCATGGGGGCGGCCCACTCAGGCGTCCCAACTGGGGCTCTCATCACCCACGGGCCACCCAGGCCACTCTGCAGGCCTGCTCTCGCCCTTCCTCACGTTCCGGGTGCTGGAGAGGAACCCCAGCGAGCGGGTCCCACCCTGGGGTCTAGCCGCTTCTCCCCGATCTTCCTGGGAAGAGTCAGACTGTGCCTTTGACTCCCCTCGCTCTCCTCTGTAAGGAAAACCATGTGCTCGCTGTCTCCTGCCAGAGCTCCGACAGCTGACGGGCTGCCAGTGCTGCTGCAAGTGCCGGGCACGGGGGTTAGACGCGGCTCCCTGACGCCTGTTCCTGTCCCTGCCGTCCGCGCCCAGACACCGCCCGACGTGGGCCGGGCCGATCGGGGCCCCTGCTGCGGACACCTGCACCCCCAACTTCGGGAGCCCCGCAGCGCCCTCCCTGTTCTGCTTCCCGCTGGCCCCCGAGCACGGCTGGTGGGGACCCTGCCTCCGGGGCACTTCCACCTCGATGCCCCTGAACTCTGCCACCCCCACCGACAGAGGAAGTGAGTGTGCAGGAGGAGCTGCCCCGGCCGGGGCTCGGTCCCTGCCCTTGGTGGTCCAGCAACCCCCCCACAGCCCCCGGCAAGCAGCCTCTCAGCCTAGTGGGCACCTGGCCAGCCTCTGCTGGTCCTGCCGCCCCGCACACTCACACACGTGTGCACATGTGAGCCCGTCTACACAACACACGCGGCAGCTGAACCAAAACGGTGCTTCCTGCCCCAGCCCAGGGCATCCTTCACACCCTGCACCCCCACCTTCCCCACGGGTCCCCGAGGAGCAGCCTTACTCACCGGCCCCCCTTCGAGGGAAGATTCTCTTCTGCAAACTCATCCCTCGGGGCTTGGAGGACAGAGGAGGAGTCCCCGAGAGCCGGGTCCAGAAGCCGGGGGGTCCACAGCAGCTTCTAGGGCCGACAGGATTGGAAAAGCAGTTAAAACTACCGAGAAACTGTCCGTCAGAGCTGTTTTCCCTCAGCAGGCCGGGCAGGCAGGGAGGGAGGGGAAAAAATCCCTTCCCCGCTGCCAACAAGTCTTCAACGTCTCAGGGCAGCGGCTTCCAACTCCTGCCCTTGCTCGCACAGCAGTGAGCATAAAAGCGATGTTATTCCACTGGATCCAGCCCTCAGATCCTGAGTCTCTTCCTGTACCGCAAACAGACAGGCAAAACCGCAAACTTTCCTCTGGACTCGGAGTCCAGCGTGAGCGGGCCGAGCACAGCCCTGTCAGAGGTCCCTGGGGTGGAAATCGCTAGAGCTCTAGACCGTGCCCTTGGCTCCCCACCCCTCACTCTTTCTCTTAAATGAGTTCTGGTGTGTTTGTGTGATTGCAAGAGACACACACGACACCTCAAATCCTTGCCTGACATCGCAGTGATTCATTTTCTCCTTCTCACACACACACAGCGCCTGTGTAATCCAAGTGAAAACGCCTTTCATGAAGTCTGTGCAGGGCTGGGGCAGGGGACTCGTGAATGCAGCCTGTGTCCCCAGAAAGGGCGGCGAGAGTGCAGGCGGACTTTCACCAAGACAAACAGTCCCTCCTGCCCGCCCGTGTCAGGACCAGGAGGGACCAGGGCGAGGTGGCGGCCAGCCCCGGTGGCGGGGCTCTGAAGTCGGTTCAGCCTCGTCCACCCCAGTTCCCCGCTTGCCTTCTCCTGCCGGGAGAGTCTATTTTTAGACTTGGACAAGACGGACTATTATTTTAAATGACCAATTTGATTGCCGGGTTAAATAAATCCTTGGATTCCCCACTGAAAAAGACCAAAAAGAAAAATACAATGAGTGGGCAGAGTCAGAGCCGAAAACTGGGGAGACCCGGGGAGGGTTTCGGGACGTAACTACGTGAGACTGGGCAGGCGGGCAAGCCCGGCGTGTGGAGAAAACGCCACCAGGGAAGTGAGTGACAGCCCGGCTCTGAGTTGTCCGTTTCGGTGAGTGTGCGAGGGACGATCACAACAAACACACAGCCCCACGGCTGCCTCGGGCCCCTGACACCACACAGGGCCTCCTCCAGTCACAGGCTTCACACCTGCCACCGTCACTTTGCTCAGGGCAGGTCCAGGTCCCCGCGACCCCTCTCCCCGCCCAGCCCACCCTGACGCACCTGTAAGGACCGCACTGCCTGGGGCAGCACCCGAGGCCGGTTGCCAGGACACTCCTGCTCTCGGCACCTGGAGTCAGAACAGCCCCCCGACAGCCATGCTCACCCCCAGAGGAGGAGGCTGTGGGACCCCACCAGCTCGCCCTTGCTCTGAGAAACACGGCTCACCTAGCCCTGCGATTGCAGGTACGGGAGGCCGAGGCTGCACTGTGCGTGGGGACCAGCCAGAACAGCCAGTGTCTCCTCGGAGGAGCACCACCTACAGGCCGGCGGGGGCGAGGGGGGTGTGCGGCCCGGAAAAGGGGGGCTGCTTCATGGAATTTAAAGTGACTGACCATCCCGGGAGGGTGTGTGGGTCTCACTTCGAGATGAAGTAATTGGGTCACGAACTCAGGAGGTATGGCACGAACCACATACAGGAAACGGGATTTAGACAAGTCACTGAGAGGTTTTTTTTTTCCCCTCCACGAGCTTCCTGACAGCCACCTGGGCTTCCCGACCCCCGGGGTCCGCCCACAGCTCGGGGACCAGCCGTGGCTTTCAATGCACACCTGTAAGAGGATGATCGGAAAAGTCCTTTAGGTCCCATCCTTGCCTTGGGAACTCCTAGGCAGACTTTGTTAAATCAACAGCAAAGGCTGGAGGCCTTTGATCCTTTGAATCGAGCTTTTATGAAGGAACGATTATTTGGTGTAGTGGGGCCAGAGCTGGAAGCAGCCCCGCAGAGGCCACGCGGCTGCCTCGGACGGTGAACGGGGCGGGGCTGCAGGTGCTTCTGCAGCTAGAAGATCCAAGGGTGTAGACTCCCTCCCTGGCCCCCCCACCAGCCCTCCACAGAGCAATGTTAGCTCTGCCCGTGCCTTGATTTTCCCCAGGTGAGACCCATTTGGGACTGTGTGTGTGTGTGTGTGTGTGTGTGTGTAAACAGCCTGTCAGCTACATGTCCAAACGCGTATAAAGGTCACCTGCCTAATGGACTGCGAGTATTTTTTATTCCTTTTCCTCTGATTTTTCCCCCATTTGTTTTTTGCCCCCACAAGGAACAGGTTTGATGCTTAGGGAGGAAAAAAGGTGGGGAATGTATGTGCAGGAAGCTGTGGTCCTGGAGAGGCCAGAGTGTGTCCCCCACACGGAGCTGCACCTTTCTAATCCTTCTGCTGCCCAAGTGACGGAGGGGACCTTTCTGTCACCCGGAGTCTGCAGCAAAGGATGGGAGACGACCTGCCGTGACCACCCATCCTGTCCTGCACCCTCCTGGGCGGAGGGGGGGGGCAGGGGGGTCCCACCCCCCACTCAGTCGGCCCCCTGGATGGCACTCACCTCAACACCCACTCGGCTGTACCACCTGCCCTGGCTGGTCCTCACCCCCCCCCCAGCCTGCCAGAGGTACAGACAGAGACACGCCCCTTGGCAAAGTGGGCTCCACCCCATCCAGAGCCAATTCTGACCGGGCAGCCAGGATGCCAGGGGCTCAGGGAGTCTGACTGGCGAGGCCAGGATGCCCCTCACTGTGGTGGGTGCGGGCTCTGCATATGCCTGAGTGGAGCCCTGAACCGTCCTGTTCCCAGAGACTGGCCTGGCTGCCCGGGCCTGCTCCCAACTCCACAGACAGGCCTGCCCCACCCCCGCCGGACCTGGCACCTGCCCTGTGACCCACCTAGTGTGCAGCCTCCTCGTGGGCACTGCACCCTGCGGCCCGCCCTGCTCCGTTCTTCCCGAGCACGAGCTGCTGCCCAGCTGGGCTCCAGCACAGGCTCCTTCCCGGGCGGCCGCCCCACCCACGTCCAGCTGCCCACGGGTCCGTGGTGTCCTGGGCTCTGCCCCACGGCAGCCCAGGGAGCACTTCCCACAGCCCCTGCTGACGTCGCACGTCGTGCTGAACACTCAGGAGGGGTCCGAGCCTTCGCCCACTGCATCTCCCCAGGGCCACAGGCCTCTGGGGCTTCTCCCCTCCTCTCCTGGGGCCCCGTGCGGCCGGGGGCCTCCGCCAAGGTCTTGAACCCTGGCCACTTCCCACAGATCCTCACAGATGCAGGCGCCACATGGCACGGAGGGATGTGTGACGGCCTGCATGACAGTGACCCCAAAGGAGCTGGGTGGCGGTGCTCAGTGAACACTAGCAGACTAATGGGTAATCGTTAACCTGAACACCTTCATCCCATGGACGGTAAATGCAGCTGAAAATCCATTTTCTTACTCAACTACCCCTTCGTTTCTAAATATTGTCTGCCTTTAAAATTTACTTTCGCACTCAAAGTTACAGACAGCCTGCGAGGCCAATGTACGGCACTTAAAATGCTTCATGATTTTTTGAATATGTATCTTAAGGACACGCTGAGCCTCCTACCACATTCAAAGGCAGACATCAGCACAGGCTGGCTGTCTCATCCACACCGTCCGGAAATTCGGGGCGTCTTTGCCAGCTCTGGAAGCCACAGACACTGCGGATCCATTCACTACCTATCAGCGACGGTTGGTTCTCACCCTGAACAAGGACCTCTCCTCGGTCACCATTTAATCCACACTGTGTGCCCATTTCACAGATGTGGAAGTGGAGGCTCCATCCGGTTCAGGGACATGCCTGGGGTCACAGATCAGAGAAATAACGGAGACAAGATGCAAGTGTTCTTATACAAAGACGAGAAAAACACGGGCTAGAATTTCTCAATCAAGAACTGGCCATATAAATGCATCGGTTGGAAGGGCCTACCCGACGCGCCCCCCAGACGGGAAGACAGCCGTCTGTGACGTCCACTCCCAGCCTCCGGTGAGCGCTGTCTCGGAGCCACGGAGTCAGAGCTAGGACGGCTTTCCCACGTGGTCTGCAGCCTGCCATCGTGACCAGGTCCCTCCTGGCCAGCGTCCTCCCTGTAACATCGACACGTGGACAGATTGGTGTGGAGTCATTCGGGCAGTGTGACGCAGCTGCTCCCCGGCCCCAGCCTCCTGCCTTTCTACTCCCACCTCAGCAGCCCCCAGAGCTCTGCTGAGCACGTCAGGAAGTCCTGTCCTCAGAGCACGTGCATGGGGAGGCTGAAGACAGGAGGGAGAATGACGTGCTCAGAGACAGGGAGGGGCCTAAAGACGCCCCCCCAGGCCCACCACCCCTCTGCCACAGAACAGGGGTCCCTCTCGACCAGCCCGAGTGACCAGCCTGTGGCACAGTGAGACCCCCGAGCGGGGAGACACTCCCCACCCCAACCTCACAGATGGACAGAACTGGCTTTAACCATCTTTCACACACTTCGTTTTTTGGAAACACATTCGCGAGGATCTTATGTTTTTCATTTATTATGAAATATATTCTGCAGGCCTAGAGGTGGAAAGGGTTTATTCCAAAACCCTTTCATTGTTTTGTTACAAAGGTTTTGCCTTATGTACGTTCGTCTGTGCTTCACAGTATACACACGGACATGCACACACACACACTCGTTATCCATTACCCATGGCCACTACCAAACGCCACACACCCTGAGCGGACTGTGTGAGTCCCCATGAACAACCCGCAGCCAGCACAGGCCACGGGGACACCAACACCGGACATCAGGAAGTCAGTTTCAGCAACAAGGGCTTCCGGGTGCCTGCAAGGAGCGGGGCACCAGTAGCCCACCGGCCTGCCCTCCGGTGTCACCCCCTTCTGCCCCCATGGGTCGGCCCCGAGCCCCTTCTCACTGGGCGGGAACGCCTCCGTAGATCCTGGCACTCCAGCAGCAGCCTCGGAGCCCACCCTCGTGCTGAGCCTCCCAGCGCCCTGTGACCACTTGTTCGCATGTCCATCTGTCATCCTGGACAGCGTGACGCTGAAGGCAGGAACTACCATCTCCGTGTCCCCTTATGTAGCTCAGTGCCTGCCGTGCAGTGGAAACTCCAGGTGTTCTGAGCTAACTAAATAATGGCATGAAAGGCGGGAACTTGCGGTTATTAAAACAGAGATTGCGGGGAGAATGGCTGGAATGAGGGGCAGGAGGGTGTAGCTCGGACACGAGGATCCTGGAGCATCTGTTGAGCCC